GACGACCCCGAGCCTGGCGCGCGGCCGCCTTCGCTGCGGAGCTCACGCTGCGCCAGGCGGAGGGGGGGCCAGGCGGCCGCTCTGCCGCCGCGCGCTGGGGGAGAGCTTGCGCGTCAGCCCCGGGCAACCGCTTTGCAGCGAGCGCGGGGCCGCATCCTGCGATGTCGCGAGGGCTCCGGGAGGGCGGTTTTTTCCTTTTTTTGCTGGAGTCGGGGTGGGGAGTGACGCAAGCGGCCCAAGAGGCGCCCTGACCCCGCGCAGGCGGCGCCGAGGCGGCGGGCACAGCTCGCAGCAAGGCCCGCGAGCCCCCGGCCAAGCACTTGGTTTTCTGCCACTCCCAGGGCGGCAGAGCCCTGATGCACCAGACTGAGGATGACCGTTGGTGTTTGGGGAGGATGGATGAGTGCGCAGCCAAGGAGCTGCTCCAGGACTGTCCCCAGTGGGTGGCTTCTTGGGCCATGCGGCTACACCAATTACATGTAACCTGGGCAGGGAAGGAGGACATGGTTGGGCTCAGCGTGTCAGGTCGTCCAGGGCAGGCACTAGGCACCTGGAGAGGATGCGCTTGGTCTGGTGGGGCCTCAGCTTCTGCTGAAGCCTGGGAGCCCAAGGCCAAACAAGCAACATGGTACACAGCACTGGGCCCGCTAGCACAGCAAGCTCTGAGCTCTCCACTTGCAGCAATCCCCAATGACCAGCTCTTGCCCCTCATCCTAGGTGTGTCCCGTGGCACTGTGACGCCCCAGTGGCAAGGAAACTGTCCCTGAGGACCTCGCTGCTGCAGGCTGCAAGGGATGCGCATGGCAGCAGCGCACAGGGGCCAGGAAGGCTGTGTGGCCACCTTACTTCTCATAGTTGGCGTGGGCCGGATGCTCCTGAAATGCTTGTTTTTCCTCCGCAGAGCCATCTTGTACTGCAGGGAGAGGAGGAGAAAGAGCCTGTTCGCAAAGCCAGCAGTGCTCTCACTGCCTGGTCACCGACAGGATGGAGGCGGACGGAGGCCACCATGGGGGACCACTGTCTGCAAGCCACCTCCAGTCTTGAGGCTGCCACCAGCAGTGTCCTCTGTGACTGCCTGATCCAGCCAACCCTGGTCTTGTGCCTGTTGCAACCCCTCTGCCACCCTCAATCCCTAATGCTGGGCTCCCTCTTCTTGCTCCCACTCATCTTTAGCACCCAGCCAAACCATCCTAGGCGCTGACCCTGCCTGAGCTGGGTGGCTTTCCGGCCATTTCCCCAATGCTGTGTGAGGGATGCAAGATCTGGGGGGCAAAAAAGCTGTTTTGGAAGACTGCTGTGTGACCCTGAGGTGGTGCCAGAGCCAGACAGAGCTGGTGGCACCACGGGTGAACCAGTTTCTTGGCTGAGTTAATTGCTTTAGCTTTGACCTGGCCTTAAGGTGGCAGGAGCGCCTGAGGGAGCTGCTCAAGCGCAGAGACACTAGTCTCTAAGGACAGCACTCTAATTTCAGCCGGTAAGGAGAATAAAAGCCCTTACATGTGGGCATCATGCAGCAGCAGGCTCGGGTGTCTGGCCACTGCCGCCTGCCATCAGACCTGATGCCTCCTGGTGTCACCAAGCCCTCGAGTAGCCGGGACACCGACACAGCACAGCCCAGCAGGGAGCAGAGCCCTACCTCTTCTGCGGCGAAGCCCTTCTCGGCGCTATCCAGAGGATTTCTGCCCCTCATCAGCGCAGTGACATCATCTTCAGTGGTCTCCAGCTGCAAGGACGGCAGGTCCAGCCCGTGCTTGAGGAGGCTCTCGGCCTAAACCATGAGGAAGCGTTCGAATCATTCCCTCGGCTGGGGTGCGCTCGCTGCCCCGTGAGCGCCGTGCTGCTCTGCTCCCTTCCCGTGCCCGAGATTTGTGAGCGGATTTAGGCCCGATTAGCCGGCTGCCGGTGCTGGCCGTGCCCTGGCGTGGCCGCCCTGCTCCGGCCTCCAGGAGAGCCCTGGTGCATGGGCGGCTGCTGCCCGGCTTCCTCCTGGCACCAGCCCCCTGCAACATGCCCTGCCGTGGGGCAGCTCCTGGACCTCAGCTGGGCTGGCGAGGAGCCATGGGGCATTAATCCTGCTGTGACGGCCGTGGGAGAGGATTACCTGGGAGTGGAAATCTTGCTGCTTTCCAGACAGCCAATCTGCAACCCCTGCGTTGGCTGGTGCCTGGGCAATGCCAGGACCTCCACCCCTCGTCCCCAGGAGGACCCACAAGGGCTGGCGCTTCCCGGCACTCACCAGCTTGCACTGGGCAGCACTCAGGTCTCCCAGCACGGCATCCACAACGCAGTCGGCCACAGCCGCTGTGACACACAGCTTGATTTCACTGGGAGCGGAGGGAGAGGTGTCAGAACCACCACGGACTAAGCAGCTCTGACAGCCCATCTTGTGGGTTGGCCACCAGAGGTGTCTCCATGTTCAGTGGGACATGTAGGGGTAAGGAGAGATTGAGCTGTGTGGCCACAGCAGCCCCAAGCAGAAAGGGGAGAAGTCACGTCACTCACTTCAGCTTGCTGAAGACATCGGTGACCATCTGGTCCAGGACAGAAGTGAGGTGGAGATGGTCCTGCAGGTAGATGCGCTCAGACATGGCGTTGACCAGCTGTTCCCTGACTCCTCTCTTCTGTACCATGTCCGGGCAGAGGTTGTGCACTGTGTCCAGCACTGCCTGCATGATCGCCTGTGGCAGACCCAGAAGTTAGGGGGATGAAAAGGGAATTTTCTGCATCTTTTCTATCAGGATTCAAACGTTTTCCTAATTTGTCTCGGGAGATGTTTGGTACAGGGGGGATCTGGGTGATGGAGGTGATACAAAGAGCGCTGTTGGAGCGCACCGTGTGTCAGGCTGGCATCTTTTTGGCAGGACAGTGCCCACATCTAGGACTTCATCATCCCTTGGGCTGAAGCTGATGAGTGTCCCATGCCGCTGGGGGCTCCCAGCAGGCACCCACCTGGATTTCCCGGCTGCAAGCCTGCGACACTTCCTCCATGAGACACTCCATCTTATGCTGGAGCTTGCCGTTCTGGTATGGGGTGTTTCCTGATTCATACAGCAGAGGCAAAATCTGCAAGGGGAGGAGACAAGGTGTGGATCGGCACACAGCAAGTTGCCTTTACTCTCCTTGGCCACACATGGCGAGTCCTGGTTCATGGTTGCCCCATGGCAAGGCACTCCCTGCATTAGTTCGGGAGACCCAAGCATCTGGGCTGGGATTGGGCTCCCTGGCCTCACTGCATTCTTCTCCTTGGCCTTTTAAATCCCACGAGAGGCCTTTCCTAACTCAGGAAGTTGATGAGCAACCCCTTTCTCACCCTGTTGCAGGGATGCATGCTCACCATGCACGACCATCTGTCCCCAAGATTTGGAGAACAGCGCCACGTCCCTGCAGAGCATCTTCACTGAGGTGTAGCCACCAGATGCTACCAGGACACGTGGCAGTGAGTGGGTGAGAGGCCCTCCTCTCCTTGTCTGTAGGAGCATCTCCCACCCTGCAAAGTCCCACTTGCTGTAGGTTGTGAAGTCAGTGCCAGTCCCACGCATGCATGCTGTTGTCATGGTCTGCATCTGAAGCAGTTCTGCCCCAACCATGGCACCATGGCTCTTGGCCTCACCAGCTCATGTAGAGACTTTTGGACAGCTCCAAAGCCAGAGCATCCACAGCTCCCAAAGGAGGCTGGTGAAAGCAGGGCAATCTCCTTCCTGAAGAGGCTATACACTTCAGGATGAACGCACAGTTCCTAGGGAGGTTGCGCGTGTGAGAATTAGAACATTTGGGGCTTTTTTATAGAAGCTGTTTTTGAATATTTTGCAGGAGTTTAGCAGTGCAATGTACATCTGTAGCACTGATATTAATCTCAAAAATTCACTGCTTGTTAGTTAAATGTCATTAATAAATCAACACACTGCTTTGATCTTGGATTGAAGTCCCATGAGCAGAGTGCTTTTTTTTTTCTCCTGTGATGCCAAGGGAAGGCAGCCCCAGTTTTCCTGGGGTGCAGCAGACTTACACTGACAGACAGGTTGGCGTTCCTGATGGCTTCCTCTGCGAAGATGATGTCAGTCTCCACCTCCCTGCCCAGGCAGGAGCTGAGGACGTCAACGTGCTTCTGCACACTGAGGCAGATTTCGTTCACCATCTGGAGCACAGAGGAGATGCTGTCACACTCGATGCCTAAGCAGCACTGGAAGGCTCTGTCCTCTCTGTGATATCCCAAGAGGAGGAGGAGGACACATGGGTGCTGCCCCATCACGAGCCCCTGCAGGTAATTCTCCCCAAGGTTTTCTCTGCCTAGTGACCAGGGATACTGGACAGCAGGGATTTTTCTTGCATGTGTTCAGCACATGAAGATGGAAAAACACTGTGCAGAAGGGGGATGAGCGGTGAGATATCTCAGCACTGAATTTGTTGCAGCAGAACGAAGAAGCCAGGATGGCTCCATGGGTATCTCAGCTCCATTCCCTCCTGACCAGCCCTGCTCTCTTCTCCATGTCCCTCTCTGTCCTGGGCTCAGAAGCAGCAGAGAGGTCTGTGCTGCTTGCAGGAGTCAGCATGAGCTCCCCGACATCTGCTTTGACGTCCTGCACTACCAAGATTACTCGCACTGGAGCAGAGCAGCCATCGGTGCAGTGGGATGCGGCACTTCGTGTTCTCACCTGTTCCGAGGAGGTGGTCAGGATGCCCTGCTGCAGTCGGAAGGTTTGGGTTGGCAGCGTGCGCCGCATTTGGTTCCTTGTCAAGCAGGACTGGATCTGCAGCACATAAACAGAGCCATGAGGAGGGGTCTTTGGCACCCCAGTCCTGCTCCCCAGCCCCCCAGTCCCACCTTGTGCACTGCCTCCTCTGTTTTCTCAGGGTTGCTCCGATACGCCTGCACCACATCATTCATTGGCAGGGGCATGGACTTGAGGGTGTAGTTCCTGCGAGGCAATGGCACAGATGAGCGGTGGGGCAGTGGCACTGCCAGCATCTTTGCTGCAAGCAGACACCTATGTGACATCTCCTGCCTTGCAGGGGCAGAGACTTGGGCATATCAGTCCCATGGTTTTATCACCACATAAAACATGTGCATGTGGAAAGCATTTCCCTGCTGACATAATCTAGTTTCCAGGGCTTTCAGGGATGGCTGAGCTCAAGCAGATGACCAAATCCCCAGGGAGTCTCAACAGGTCAACAATTTTTTCCATCTTTTGTAGACAGAAGAGAGTGGACTGCCCAGTTCTCACAAAAAGCATCGCTGGGTGTGGTTCAGAGTGAGAAAACACTGTGCTAGGTTGGGATACAGAGCGCCAGCACTCCTGGTGCAGCCTCTCAGTTCCTGTGGGAACCACAGCTCAGGAGCAACAGTTTCCCCTCTGGGTAAAACTTGACCCAACATCCTCTTAAGCAATGAAGGGGGAAATATGGCCATAACCAGAGCTGTGAGATGCACTTGCTGCATTTGGGGGGCCTGGGAATGGTGACGTCCTGCTGCTAAGGTCTCTTGTGCATGGTGGTAGCAGGTTAGGACAGCCAAGCTGCCCCTTCTCTACCTCTCCAAGGCCTGAGCCACCTCCAGGAGTCCGTGGCCAGTTGTATTGTTCCTGTCCCAAACCACGGTCCTGCAAAGAGGACAAGAGTGAGCTCTCTCCAGACCGACACCACATCCCATGTCAGTTCACCACGGGGGACACCAGCCTGCTCCCCAGGGAGGGACAGACTGTGGCATGTGGTTGCCAGGAGCTGGAGGGACCATGCCAAGCTGCACCAATCATGCAGGATAGCAGGAAATCTCAGCCAAGCTGAACCCACACGCCAGGAGGCACGGAAACAGGGCTGAAAATCTTAACCTCATGATTGAAAACCTATAAACTTGCCCCATTTAGAAAGCTGCAGAGTAGCTGGATATCTGGAGGGAGCGCAGATAGGATGGCCCTTCTCCAACAGGCATCACTGCCAGCAGGGGTAGAGGTCCCATGGAGCAATGTCTCCAGCCGAGAGACCTTTCCCAACTCCCTGTCCCCTGCAGAAACCTCTGCCTTTCCTTTTCAGGCAGGATTTGGTAAAATAAATAAAAAAATAAGGATAAAGACATTTAAGGGACTGGAAACATCTCTCTGCCAAGGCCTGGGGCAGTGAGGCCAAAGTATGGATGAGCAGCGACCACAAGGCTCCATCTCCAGCATCCTGGGCTCATGGGAGCCTGGAAAAGAGCTGTCAAATGCTGGTGTGGAGCTGCCAAGGCATGGTCACAGCACCCAGCTGCTCTCTGGGAATGGCCAGGGTTGCAACTGTGGTCACAAGGAGCCACAATAAACCTTCTTCAATGCCACCAGCTTCACAATGGTGACTGTCATGTTGAGTTGACTGGGCACGGTGTGGACAGGGAGAGGATGCCCACAGGGAGAGGAGCTTGTGGCCACTGCTACCTGAGCTTTGTGTTGATTTGCAGGGCTTTGGCCAGCATTTTGGCACCGGTGTCTCCCATAGCATTGCCGCTGATGTCCAGCGCAGTGAGGCTGGTGTTACTGCCCAGGGCGCTGAGCAGGACATTGGTTCCCAGCTTGAGGCGTGACTCAGCCACGGACAATGACTGGAGAACCTGGAACAGGGAAAAGGAGGGGGATGTGTCTGTCATGCCAAGCTGGACAATGTCCCTTGAGCAGAGTTTGCAGAGAGTCATGGTGGTTGGTGAGAGGCAGTGCATGGGTGGGATGGCTGGAGCAGGTAAGGGCCCCAGGGATAGCAGGAGGTACTTACACAGTCATCTTCCTGGGTGATCTGGACAATGCGGTGCAGGACATCCAACAGCCCATCTCTGCAGGAGAGGCAGATAGCTATGCATGCATTCCAGTACCATGTACCCCCAGAAGATCATGGACAGCTGCCAAAGCACAACCCTCCTGCTTTTGCTGAAGGCACCAGACACATCAGCCTCCTGCCTGCCCACATTTCAAGAGGCTGCAACCTGTGTCTGTGATGCCTGCACTGCAGCAAGGACTGGGTCAGGAGCAGGTGACAGTCCCCTCATGAGTTGCTGATACAACAGAGCAGGCAAGCTTCTGAGAAAAGAGAAGGCAATCCAAAAAAAAAGTGGATGCGGTGCTAAGACCTGGGGACAAAGTGCTACAGGTTGCACTTACTTGGATTTGATGTTGAAGTTTTTCCCCAAAGAGACATGCCTAATGGACTTGCTTCTGCCAATGGACAGCACCAGTGTCACCATATCAGAGTCAAAACCTGTGAGAGACGAGCGCAATAGTGAGACACCCAGTAGGATGCTCTGAGTGGTCCAGACGTCAAAGGGCTGGAGAGTGGTTTACAGCGCACTCTGTACCTCGCTCTTCCCACTACTCCAATGTCGCAGGGCAAGAGGCACCCAAGATCTGCGGGGCAAAGCCCAAGAGGATGTAACTCTAAGAGGATTTTTCTCCCAGGCCACCACCACAGATTTTCTTTGACTGCCTCTGTACACCCATAGAGATGAAGCTGTCCCTGGTATCCCCCTCCTCCATGGAACCAGCAGGCTCCAGCTCACCAGAGAAATGGATGGTATGCAAAAATACTACAAGAGCAGCTTGATCTCTGCAGAACTGGTAGTGCCCTGGCTAATGTTTTAGGGGCATATGCCTTTTCCTCCCAGTGAAGAAAATGACTGCTCTTATTAAGTGAAGCAGAAAAATCTGCAGTGCTGGAGATCTACTGGACAACATACAGCTCTTATGCATTCCCTGTGTCTCCAGCACAGGGTTGATGTCTGGGGAAAAGCAAAATAAAATTACATTTTGGAAGAGGTTGGCCAGAGAGTTTTGGAAGCCAACAAGCTTTTGGAGCATTTTTGAGCCAGAGAAAACATGAGCTGATTTTGCAGGACCCTGATATTTAGAAGAGAGTACCTCAAGATCATGATCAGTTAAGTGTTATCAAACAACATCAGCAGCATCTCATATACTTTCCTCATTACCCCCACCCTATCAGCATATCATTTTTATATTGATATCTGTGTGTAACTGGTGGTATCTTCACCCCAAGGTGGGTGCACACTTGTTGTACAGCACAGCCAGGCAAGGGTACAGGTCAGCAATGATGCAAAAGTGCCAAGACTCTCTGACAGACTGGTGTGACCCTACTCGTCTCTCCAAAGCTGCTCCATCTCCCTGGGGGCTCCTACAAGCTCAGGAGATGCTGGGTCTGAGTCAGCCTCTGCTGAACACCCTGAGGCAGCCATGCCTGTGGATGAAAGAGATTGCTCTGCTGGGTGAGGAAAAAATATGACCTACCGTTGTCGGACAGATCTAGGTCACTGACAGAACTGGCATCAGAGATGAGATCTTGGATGACTTGGGCCCCCGCTGATCTCAGCTTAGAAGAGAGAAACACATCAGTACAAGAGGAGGCACCGAGTCCTGCAAGGGAAGCAGGTGGACAGGGGATGGACCTTCCCATGTCTCCTGCCATGGCCTCTCCACCTCAGGGATGTACATCCCTAGGTAGGCTAGACAGTACCCTGGCAGGAGACTGCGCCTCATGCAGCTCATGGATGCTCACCATGCACAAGCTATCCCCTCACCTCACAGCTGCTAAGATCCAGGTGCAGGTCACTGATGCAACTGTTGTACGCCAGTCCTTGCAATAAAGCTCTGGAAAAGTCACCAAAGGCATTGGCTAGAGCAACATGGGGACCACCAGCCTCTGTGGGCTGCCGCGTGGGATAAGGGGGATAGGGAAAGGGTTGTTTCCCAGCAGGCATCCCCTTCTAATGCAAAGCCCTAAGCCAGGTCGCACTGGACAGCACTTGCCCATAATCTGTCCCCATCACTGGAAGAGCCTCTCTATCATCCTGCTGAGCCATTGCAGGGATAACAGGGGTGGCTCAGGCCCTAGAGCTGGACTCCGCATAGCTGGATGTCTTGCCAACTTGCTGCTCCCACCTTACCTTACAGCATCTGGAGGCAGCTTGGTACCTGCCAGGGAGATATGCCTGAGGGCACAGGCCTTGCTGAAAAATTGCTTGATGGCAGGAGAGACATCTTTTACCCTCCTGCAAGGAAAGACACAAAATAGTATCATCTCTTGTGCACGCCTGAAGCCACCCTGGCTGCCACTGTCTCCGGAAATGCCAGGCAGTCATTGCTGACTGGAGACATGGCCAAGAGCCCCTTCATTTCATGTGCTGAGCTTACTTGTGTGAATACACATTTTTGGAGAGATCCAGATGGACAAGGTTGGTGCAGCATCCATGGGCCAATGCTCCAAAGAGCTGCAGGGGGTGATAAGTTCAGACACGTTAGGCAGCACCACGACAGCTCAAGCACCCCAGACCCAAAAAGGGACAGTGATGATGATGGAGGAGACCCTAAGGCAGTGATCTGTCATGGCAGGGCTGCTGGGTCCCACCATTGCAACCTGCTCCCTTCTGTCTCCTGGCAAAGCAGGTGCCTCCCAGCCCACCCTGGCCATGGGATGCAGGACAGCACATTGCTGAGCTGGCTGCCATCATATCCCTGTCCCTGGGCAGCCCCGTGTCACACATGATGCAACTAGAAGACTGAGAACACATAGTGGGCTGTGGTAGTTTCTACAGCTGGTCACCAGCCACTGCCTGGGGTCCCCTTGCTTGAGTACTTACAGTGTCTAAGGAGCAGTCAGTGCCAGACAGGCTGAGGTGGGAGAGGGAGCCGCAGCAGCAGAGCAGGCTCTGCAAACTCTGTGGGGAGAGAGGGCTCAGCAGTCTGCCCAGGACCCCTGGTATCCACCCTAGGTCATCCCAGCCACCCTGGCCAGCCTCCTCCCTTCCGATTGAGGAGAAGTGAAGATGCTGACAAAATCACACAGTGACCCACACCCCATGCATGGGCCATTTGGTCCCCAGGGTGTCTCCTGCCTCAAGACAGATTAACCAAGGCCAGCCCTGCCTGTCCTCTGGTCGAAGCAGCAAGGCCGCCAGAGGAAGGAGGGTGCGCCCATGTGTGCAGGGTATGGTCTATCCCACAAGGTCAGAGTGGTGACCAGCCCAGAGCACTCACGCTAGTGTCATCCAAGGCCAGGGTGCCGGGGTTTCCAGAGAGGTCCAAGTGCCGGAGGGAAGAGCCGATGACTTCGTTAGCTGCTAGGGGCTGGCACAAAGTGCT